ACTGGGATATATATATATATATATATATATATATATATAATATATAAACAAAAGGAAAAGCTTTATATATTTATTTTTTATTTGTTTTCGTTTAAAGGAGAAAAAAAAATTGTCCTAGGTACTGTCGTATTGAAATTAATTGAGGACATATTTTCTCATTTAATTCACTTTCATTTAAGGGATTTTGTTTTGATAATGATTCTCTTAGAAATAGAGAAAAAATAATTTTCAAACCGAGTCATATATGCTTAACGCTTCGCCATTTGGCATTATTAAGCACTTGGCATTTTTAAGCATTTTGAAACAACCTCAAAACATTTTCCCTCAAGCTTCATATTTAATTATTATATGTTGCTTTTACCTTCGTTCGAAAAAAAAGTGCTTTGCCGAAATTTTCGCATTTTACAAATTGTCTACTGAAATAAAATTAGAAAAAATTATGATCACCCAAATGCCTGATCACTGCCAGCATCTTCATCGCAGTACGAACATACCACTGCAGGTTCAACATTTCGTTCGTTCGTAATCGCATAGTACTTAAGAAGAGCACTGAACGATCGTTTTGAAGTACATTTTATCAGTGGTTATGGCTAGAGGATCACTAAACTTTAAATCGATAGGTAGCAGCCAGAATGTATGAGCTGAAAAAAGAGTATTGCCGAAACTCCCAGCATAAGATAAAATTTGCCATGTTTCTGGCTCTACGGGAACATCAAAAGCTCAGAAATTTTTCGAATGCCTTTTGGTAATGATTTTGGTTAAATTAACTATAAAATATGGTTGTTTTAATCATTACTGAACTTGGTAAATGTTAAAAAAAGATGGTAAATTTTTTATACTTTGAGCATGGCTAAAAATTATTTATTCGATTAAATTTACTTTCCAGTTTTGTAATTTTAACTAAATGTGTGCTAATAAGTATATTTTAGAAAACAAGAACTTCCGGTAAACCGTTACACACATGCGCAGGAAATTACCAATAAATTGTTCAAATGCAGTATATTTTGTTTTTAGTAACCTGAATTATACTCGTAGTTTCGTTAAGAGTACTGACATTTACTATTAAGCGTGGAGAAATGTTTTTTTCTCTCTGAGTAGCATGTAAATGTAGTCGGTGCTCATTGATGATCAGATTGCCGTACAATCAAACTGATGATGACGAAATTGTAGAAACATAATCGGCTGGATCCTCTGTCCCACAAAATTGCTTTAGAAATTCCTTACTTATTTTAGAATATCGTGTTTTATATTGAGCTGCTATATGCCAAGTTAGTAATGCTTAGATTAAACCTCTTTTTGCACTCTCTACTTTTAGACAGAATGCTGATTCTAAGCAATCAAAATTTATTTTTATTAAAGTATTTAAATGAAGTATTCAAAGTATTTTATCTAGCAACATACATACATGGCAATACTTTTACTTTGCTACTTGTAACGCTTGCACGTCGTTATTTGTTAGATTTAGTACTATTACTTGTTTTTGTATTACCGTTTTTTGAAAAAGTACAAGTATTTGTGACGAGAATGTCGAAAAAAATTGATACTTTTTCTCTGAAATATTTACAAAAAAATTTAGCTTTAAAAACATTTTCTTTCCGCAGTATTTGACATTTATTTATTCTTTAATTTTTAAATTTACTGCATTATGTATTCTTTAACAGCTAACTTATTTCTCCAAGCATCTTTAAGCGTTGCAATTTCCCGAAAAGGTGATATATTTTTAGGAATTTTATGGATTTAAAGAATTTTACCTGTATATGAATACAATTTATTTTTTCCTACTTCTTTAAACAAAAACTGTAATTTTATCGAATTTGTTCAACAAATTAATTCGTTACTAAAATTTCTGAAACTAAGAACAAAATTTCGAAAGATTTAATTATTTTAAAAAATGAGCATAATTTAAAATTCCTTTTTATATGCAAACATTGCATTTTGATTTCTCGTTTGGTACCTTTCAACATTTAATATTTGCATAGAATTTTGTAATACTTTCTTGTATTTTAAAAATTTATACTTTTAAATTAAAATCAAATGCATTTTAAATATTTCTTTTTTTGCTTTTTTAATAAAATTTTAATTTGAGTAATTTAAGTAATTTCATTTTGTAACGAAATTTACGATTACTTTGAATTTTGAATTTCCTCTGAATGCACTTTAAAATAGCTAAGTTTTTTGTTTTGTACCAGTACTTTAATTTTACTTTTTTCTTCGATTCTTTTCAAAATCAAAACTTTTTGCTCGTTACTCTGGCTTAAAGTACTTGTACCTTTACTCGTTACTTTCTGCAAGTAACGTTTCCACGTATGATTCAAATGATGTATTCAATGTATTTTATTTAGTAAGATTCAAGTGAAATATTCAAGTATTCAAATGAAAAATACATGAGAAAAGTATAAATTTTATAGAAATAGTACAAATGTTGATAGGTATCCAATATAGCATATCAGAAAATTTTCATCTCATTTGTTGAGGTGAAAGCAAGAAATTATATTTGTGCTTGCTGCATAAGTACACGTTGCACATTTGTCAGGCCGAAAGTGCACTTCTGACACTTGATCAAGAAGCAAACAGTCAAACCTTTAATTTATTTAAAAGGTCTGATTTTTATTTAATTTAATAGGTATTAATTATTTTATTTAATATGTCTTAATAGGTTGTTTAATAGGTAATGTTTCATTAATGATTCACTGTTTAATTAAGGTACATTTCTGCGGTTTAACCTATTTTTTTCGGGTCAAAAATGCTTAAAACAATAATTGAAATATTTGGCTGGGTGGAGCAGTTGGTTTGTCGTCAGCCATCTGAGCCCAAGTCTGCGGGTTCGATCCCCGGCCCAGACTCTGGATTTTCGGGTTGCAGAAAATCCTCAGTGGCCACGTCGTATGATTATGCGGCATGTAAGAGATCCCTGGAGTGCCTTATTGGCTCTTGGTATTTCCGAAAAAATTAAATTCCTAGTGCACTTTAGCATCCAAATCGAATCTCGGTGCTGCCATCTAGTGTGGCAGAAACTAGACGTCCAAATTAACATGACACCCATTGTGGTGGTCCTGATAGAGTGGATACCACCTCTGGAGAACGCACTAGGTTTGCTCATCGGCAAGGCCGATTGTGCAGCTCATTGGCAATAAATAAATAATTAAAATATCAGTTCTTTATAAGTCAATAAATAGTAACGTTTCAAGGGAAAAATGCGATTTAAAACATTTATTTTAGTCTTTTTACAATTTTTTTCTGTTTCTCATTCTTTTTTTTTAAAGTGAATAAATGTTTCATGTGTATTCCCTCTTTCCCGAAAGCATTTTTAAAACAAATGCAATGTTTTGAAATTGCAATCTCAGCTTAAATTTTAATATACGTTTTATTTCATTAAGGCATAAATATTACTTAAAATATAATGCCTACCATTTCATTCACAGTTCTTGATGAATTAGAAACTCTGATTTCTCTCTATCGACAGATTAGATGCTAATATATTTTCAATTAATGTATTCATAGTTTAAATAACATATGTATTGGTATTTTTGAAACATCTTTCGTACTATTTTATCAATTGGTTAAAATCACACTTTGAGAAAGGGAAAACAATATTTATTTTAGTTATTTTTATCTTGGAATTGTTTTATCATTTATTGATAAAACAAAATAGATTTAGGATTATGAACTTGCATTGATTCTAATTTTAGTTTCTCAACCAGACACTCAAAAAAAAAAGGAAAGTATTTATTATAACAATCTGTGAATACTTTCTCTCATTTTTCAGGAGGATAAAACCTTTTCACAACGAAAGAACTTTCCTTTATACCGATTCAATTTCTTTGTTCTCGATTTATTTGACAAAAAAAAAAAGCGTTAAACCAAAATTACCTGTAACAACAATTTTTCCAGCGCTAACACTCATAACCATCTCTCCAGTCAAGCGGTGACGAGTCTGACAGTGAAATGTCCTGTAAGTGTCTTTTTCCAACACACCATGAATAAGAAGTTCTCCGGAATTGAGCACAGTGTAAGAACTGCCTAAAGGATAAAATGAATAAAATATTTTTCATTTTGAAATGATAAATTTATCAATTTGAAAACGGTTACTTTTTATATTCTCGGGGAGATCCGTGACCTTACATATTTTTAGAATTCTTATAAAAAATAATATTTAAGAAAAGAAGATAAACAAAGAGAGAAATGCTCAAAACTGTCAGAATATGGTAAAATGTACCATATTTCTGATTTATGGCAGCACCAAAACCTTTGGTCATTCTTGCCGATGAACTCTGGTAAGGGTTTTGGTAAAATTGACAGTAAAATATGGTTTTTTAATGTATGATAAAATTAGGTAATTTTATCATGACATCTTAGAGTATAGCATAAGAAACATATGCTTAGTTAAATTTAGTTTTCAAGTTTTTTTTACCGCATTTTTTACTCTATGTGCGATAATACGAACTATATTTTTAAGTTTTATTAACCAGAAAATATGTTTTTGTCCTTTTTAGCCAGAACGTACATTGCCATACAGAATGGTAATTTTGCATCCATTTTATTTCTCCGTTCAGTCATGATAATAAGTATCTTAAAAAGAGCAAAAATTTCTTTTTTTAAAATGTTAACCAATCGTAAGTAAGGAAAGAGTGTTACATTGAAGAGCGTTACATGAACATAAGCAAGGAGAGAAAAAAATATGCTCGAAACTATCAGAATATGATAAAATGTACCATATTTCTGGTTTATGGTAACTCCAAAAACTTTGGTCATTCTTACCGATGGAATTTGGTAATGATTTTGGTAAAATTTACTGTAAAATATGGTTTTATAATGTATGATATAATCTGGTAATTTTATCATGACAGCTTAGAGCATGGCATAAGAACCATTTGCTTAGTTAATTTTTTTCATATATTTCTTTTTTCTTTAATTATTTCTCTACGTGTGATAATACAAACTATAATTTTAAGTTTTATTAACCAGAAAATATGTTTTTGTTTTTTTTAACCAGAAAGTACATTGCCATAAGGAATGGTAATTTTGCCTCCATTTTATTTCTCCGCTTAGTCATGATAACAAGTATCTTAGAAAGAGCAAAAAATGTTTTTTTTAATATTTTAACCAATCACAAGTAAGGAAGGAATGTTACATTGAAGAGTGAGTGCATTGAAGTGTGTCATAGGAGTGAGTACATTGGAAATATCTATTTCTCGTTCATTTTGTAAGAGAGGCCTAAAGAAAAAGGATAAACAATAAATCAATTCTTATTGACACACATTTTGTAAAAAATACAAACTGAAAAGTAAGCTTAACCAAATAAATAGTGTTAAGCCATGTTCCAAGGAATGATGAAAGCACCAAATTTTAGCTCAGATTATAAAACCATATTTTATTGTTCTTTATTTTCGTATAACAACAAGGTAGGTTATATCGCGAGAGAAAACAGAGAGAAGTTGAAGGAAAATTTATATAAATTCCTTCAAATTTTAACAACCGATTAAAGTGCATCGACGTGCACTTTCGCGCAGTGCAATTTGTCAGATTCCGAGAGCGTTTTTTTCTTCCTGAATTTCAGTTATATATTAATTTGCAACCTCCGATGTTGTTAGATTTTCTTGCTTTTATTTCTGATTAGCAATTATCAAGTTTGATAAAAATATGTTAAGGGTGATATTTATTGCACATTAATTTGGTACTTTTTTTTCTTCTGCTCCTATCTATTTCCTACCACCTTCAATTTTCTACAAACCATTCCATTGATATTAAATGCAGAAAAAAATGTTTCATAAATGCTTGAAAAATAAGAAAAAATGTTTAAAATTACATAAGATAACAGTTACGTTCCAAGAAAAACCATATCTTAGTTCTTAAAATACGTGTTCTTAAATTTTATTGTGATTCAACTCAGAATATTTTGATAATGTACTACTGTTATGAAAAATAAACTATTGGTTAATTCGCATAAAAATATTATGCACCTCCTTTATTCATTGAATTAGATATAACATTAAAAATTGGCAATTATCTTCATGTTTTTAAACTTAAATTATTAGAACAAATCGCTCAAATTATTAAAGAGTTAGAATTTTCAGCTTTTTCTTAGTGAAATTTCGAAAATTTTTGGTGGTCAAGACGTTCGAATATCTTAAGTCGTTAATAGATCCCCTCATATAAGACTATTATCATTATCAAAATCGTGTTTCAGTAAACTTCCAATAAACTAAAATTTGAAATTACAATAATCTTTTCTGTGTGTGAAATTTTTATACAGGTGTAAGATATATAATTATAACTTCTATATCATCAGCTAAATTTATAAGAAATACATTTTAGTTTCCGTGTTAGATTTGGAAAAAAATTACAGGAAACATCAAATAGCACCTGAATAGAAAATCTACTTTTGGAAATTAGATTTATTAAAATACGATTTGCAAAAAGTGGTCGATTCCAACTGCACAAAGTAACAATCAGACAAATCTGAAACCTAACCGTAAAATCGTGTATCAAAACTGAAAAAAGGCTATTTTATAGTAGTTTATGTTACTGCATCTTGGATAAAAGTAATTCCAAAAGAATCGATGCGTCTTACATATTTTTTTTAAAGTTATATTTTCTAAAAAGAAATTTAAATAGAACATTCGAACAAAATGTGATAGATAGCTTTAAAATGAACTTGTAATCTGTGCTATTTTTGTGACATATAATGCTCTGAATGTTGTCTCCCTTCCAGATTAACAAAAAATAAGTAAATAAATAAATAATCAATTAAATCGCTGAAAGAATACATGAATAGGAAGAATTAAGATCTCTGACAACAGTGTAAGTGAGAATAGAATTATTTTTACAAAAAATCTACTTTATGTCTACTTGACAAGTTAATTCCGGAAAATTTAAATACAATTTGAAGCATTTGTTCTCTAAGAATAAAGCATGGTAAAAGAAAACAGAATAAAGTTTAATGTGTTTATGGCTCAATGGTATTAGTTATATACGTTCAGCTATATACGTTCAGTTATATATGTCAATCATAAAAAGTTATGATTGAATTTACCAAATAGCCAGAATGAACTAAACTTAGAATAATTGATAATAAATTGACATTATTACTACTCATATTGAGGGTGTTACCAAAATATGATTCAGCAATATTTAGAGATTTTGTTAGGTGAAAAAGTATGGCTAAGCTATTAAAATTTAAACATAATGTTTTGGCACTCATTTAATGTGTAATTGTTCTCGTCAAAATACAAAAATATAAAAAAATTCGCAAATAGAGGGGGCATTATTAGAGAATGCATAACTCTTATTTATTATTAATATTGCTAAAGTCCTTTTAAAAAACTAGATTCATAAACATTGTAAGATATTATTTAGTATGAGATACATGGTTAAATACATGAGATACATGGTTTACATACTGTACATTTTTTTTACCGGAATTATTTCTTTTTACCATATATTTCATTAATAGGATTTCGTTTTTTGAGTGTTTATCGGAGAAATAATTTTATATACGTTCAGTTTTATTTGTCAACAATAAATAGTAAAGATTGAATTTACCAAATAGGCGGAATAAAATAAATTTAGAAAAATTGATTATGAATTAACATTATTCTCATACTTAAGGTGCTGCCAAAATATGATTCAGCAATATTTAGAATTTTTTTTTTGGTGAAAAAAAATGGCTATACTATTAAAATGAAAACATAATATTTTGGCATTTATTTACTGTGTAAATGTTATTAACTTCTCTTCAAAATACAAAAATATAAAAAAAAATCATAAATAGAGAGGGCATTATTAGAGAATGCCTAACTTTTATTAATTATTAATATTGTTAAAGTCCTTTTGAATAGCAAAATTCATGAACATTGCAAGATATTATTTAGTATGTGATACATGGTTAAAATTTAAAGCAAAATATTATACAGCCTACTTTATTGAATGGAATTTATTAACATATCTCCTTAAAGTAGGAGTCTAAATAACGCACCAATACTTTAAAAACAAATATTACTATCACTGTTCTCAATCATTGATGCTTAAATCCAAAATTATTTTATGAAAGTATGCGATGAAAGGGGCAGTGCTAAAATTTTAAAACGAGACATTTCGTCACGCATTTCGTCACGTATAGAATTCTTATCAACAAACTTATAAAATATACAGACTTTTATTAATGTTATTTAATATCCTTTAAAAAAATAGTTGTTGACTATGTATTAAAAGAAACACAGTTTAAATATTTAATAATAACATGCCCCGAATTTCTTGTGTGAAATTTATTAAACCTCTCTTCTTTGTGCGGAAAGTCTAAATAATGCATTAACTAAATTAGAAGAGGGTTTGGCAGTGCTTGGATCACGGAAATGCTGTGCAAAGACACAGCAGTTCACTTTCTGAAGAGGATGTAATTCTGAATCTATCGGTCGAACCTCCCCAGGGTCCGTGGCTGAGAGGGACGAAGCTAATGTTTAATGGAATTGCAGAGTATCTTGGCAGCCTTGTAAAGCAGGGGCGCTTCTCGGAGAAATTTGTTGCGGCAGAAGAGAGTTTTCTCTGAAAGATTCGGAAAAGAGCTTCTCGAATGAAATTTTTGATTGTCTTTCTACTGAGATTGAGAGTGCCTCGTTTATTAATGACTCTGTCTCTTAGAACAAAACAGTCTTCAGATCCTTGGATCTGTAGATTCAACGCGGGTTATGTTATGTTTAGAGCCAAATTTCTTTTTGTGTTACTGAATAAAAATATTAGATAAATTAAAAATATTAGATGAATAAGATGAAATTAGAAATACGTAAAATGCATATTAAAATACATAAAAATGTATCATTTCCATTATATACAAAAAATTGAATGTCAATCTTTAATAAATTTTTAATATTATTTTTTGTTGCTGAGATTGAGAGTATCTTGTTTATTAATGACTCTGTCTTGCAGAACAAAAGCGTCTCCAGAGCCGTAGATCTGCAGATTCTATACTGTTTATATCATATTTAGTACTAACTTTCTTTTTGTGTTACTGAATAAAGATACACAAAGTTTATTCAATATTTCAATCTCTGTTGAGGATGGATTAGGAGAAACATCAGTGCTCGGAGTACCGGTTAAATACATACCGGGTAGTGGCACCGAACCTTAAAAAACATTGATGTAGGGCACACTAGGTAATTGTATACCGAGTAGTGGCACTAAGCTAGACCTAGTGTATATTTCGGATGTTTACCAAAGCAACAATCCGATTGTCAACTTTCACTGGTGGAGGTCAACAACCAAAAATTTCGGTCATTATTCTTAACTCCGCGTAAGTATCACCTGTATCATTACAGCGCCTTTTTCTATTTACTGAAACTTCACTTAAAATAAATTTAATGCACATATTTTCTAATATCCTACCTCTCATATCGTTTCTTTTCAGAACTTGCTTGTCATCCCTTATCCATGAATCAACAGACACATATTCTCGAACAAATGTTGGGAGATGGCAACGGAGCACAGCTGTATTACCTCTTACAACAAAATCATCATATACTTGAGGATCAAACCTTTGCTTGATAACTGAAAAAAAAACTCTTTTTGGAAAGGACAATTTAAAATTATATGTATACACAATGACAATTTGAATAACTTTTGATGCAATTATATTTATTTACGAATTGAACAATGGGCAATTGGCGAAGCATCCCTAAAGATGATCCGAAAACATACTATCACAATTTTGATTCTCTGCAGAGTAGATGGCAGCCCCTCCAGTAGCCTGATGGAAGTTGAGCACTTAATGGTAGAATAGTTTAACGAGGGCCAATACCTCACACCCTTGGTCACATTGCAGGCTGATAAAAGTTTCCCTCACATTAACAGCAATGATGGCGGACTTCGGTGATCTACTGAGAATCGTGCCTTAATGATCAGTCCACTACGAGACTAAATAAGCTTTGAACTAAATATTAAGACAGTTATAAGTCACCGATTTCAAAGTTAAGAAAAATGCCGTTTTGCCAGTGAAGCCAAGAATTTAAAGATTATATTTTAAAATTCTTTTTTTTTTTTAAAATTCCTTTAAAATTTTGACAAAGCGTTTCAATAAATATCGATTACTACCGGCAAAATCAGCAATCACCAAAACGCAAAATTTTCTGAAATATCAGATTTTCTGTAACACTTAGGCAAAATGAAAGAGGAACCAAAACTCATTAATTTAACAGGCACAAAGGCAGTGTGTTTTGAAACACGAAATAAAGAGGCAGAGACGTGTGAAGTAAGGTTTTTTTTAATTTTTTTCTTTCTATTTTGTACTGGACAGTTTTTCAACTTACTTTGGAGGTCTGTTTGGAGATGGTCACTTGGTTTCACTTCAAATAATAATTTCAATTTCGCTCACTTAAATGTAATCATAGTATTTTTTTAAATGCAAATTGATTACAATATTTGCATGAATTAAATTATGTCAAACAAAAATTAAAATCGAAAGTTTCTTCTTCTGAAATATCAAGATAATCATTTAGTATTAGTAAAATAGCCAAATAACTTAAAAACAATCTTTGTAAATTTGAAATAGATCTTACGTGTTTTTATTGCTATGTCTTTTTATGGCGTCCGTCGTCTTTTTTTATGATTAACGTTTATCGTCAACATGTTTGCAAACAACATTTGTTAAAAAAATAGATAATGCTTAAATTATGCGAAAAACACATTGTTGTCAATACATTGATGTCAATGCTTGCATCAAAAAAGTTCTTTTGCGACGTTAACAATCACAGACGTCACTAACTTAATAAATTGACCAATTTTCCCCTGAGTCAATATTCCATTTACTCTGTTAACAATAAATTAATTTTTATAAATTATAGGCAATTTAAGTGCTTTACATTTCCAGATGTGCAATATTTTTAACAACATTTTTTGAATTATGATATTAAACTATTAAATCATAGATAAATGCTTTTAACCTTTATGTTTGACTCGGAATTTAAAAAAATATATATATATATATGTAAATAGAGAAATAGTATAACCAATTATTAAAAAAAATGTGTTTTTTTTACAATAATACCGTTAACGTCTATAAGGAGGTGCCGGATGACCTGGTTAGTCCCAAAGTCCTCCATTAAAAATCGGTACCTTTGGTAGTGCTAAATTGGAGACTGGTCGTTCTCTGGTTCAGGTCAAAATTGCGATCTGTGGGTGAATAAATAGTCGGTGAACAAATGTACGAACTTGTCCGCCCAGTAAAAAAATGGGCTTTGGCATGTGTGTGTAACTAAAGCCGTATTCTTGGCCCTAGATAGCTCCATTGAAAAACAGGAAATGCACCTTCTGCCTCAAATTCACTTGGTTATACCAATCAGGTTTTACTGGTATTGGCAAGCATCGTTAGAAACAACAACAACAACTTCTATAAAATACTGTCAAATTATTTATCAAGCATAACAAACTAAAAATAAATTTGAAAGTTACTTTATTTACAGTGACTACGTGAAGCTATTAATATTGTAATGTTTCAATCTATGTCTAAAACATTTTAATATTTTAAATATTCTCAAAAATGTGTTTATTTAATAATATACTTTGTAGAATAAATCAGACATGCAAAACTTTCAAAATATTTTTCTTAAGATTTTAAAGAATAAAATCGAATTTTTTTCATGAACTTTCAAGTTTATACTATCATTGAGATGTCTTATTAAAATTTAATGAAATTCAAAAAAAGTATTCCATGTAGACATTTCTTTACAAAACATTTCAATTTGCATATCTGAAGCAAAACAAATAAGCAATAAATAGTTTAAGAACGCCAATAAATATTACCGTACATTTTCATCAAAAAGGAATGTTAAAAAGAAAACAGATTGTATTTGCATTTATTTTTCTGAAATCATCACAGTTTGTTTTATAAATACTTGTTGTAAATGATTTCTAGTATGAATTTTATCTCTCCTATATTTCTTTTTCCCTAAGATGTCTAAAAATTTATGAGATTCTTCTAGCATCGACAGAAGTTTTTATTTGTATTTTTTTTGTTTGTTATTCTTTCCATACCTACGAACCATATGCATTATTTATTTATACTCTCGAACAACAGCGTCAACTATTCCTTCGAAAGAATATTTTCTTACTCTAAATATCGCAAACCAAAGCCTACGTGTATATCTTTTCAGATGCTTTAGTATTTTCATTAAGAAAATTGAATGTATAACTGCTTTAGATCTTAATAGACAAATTCATGGAAATAATAAAAAATACGTTTAACTAAATTGATAAAAGAAAATGTAAACGTAGTTTCAATTTTAATAAAATGATAGATTGTATATCGCTTGTTAAAAATGTTAATTAAAAATAAATGTAGTAAAAATGAGATTAACTGAAGAAAAGACAAGTATTTTTAACAGACGACCTACAAATTGGCATCTTCGCAATTATATTTTCTATCTTATGTCGAACTCTTGAACGAAGGATTTCCCTAGGAGGACATTGGGTGTTGGCCATTAGAAACACATATACACCGAAGAGCCATTACATTATGACCACCATGCTAATAACATGTAGGACCATCTTCAGCCCTCAAAACTACTAGCACCCATCATGGCATTGATTCCACAAGGTGCTGATATGTAGTCAGAGGTATCTGGTACCAAGCGGTCACCAACTAGTTCTGCAATTCCCTCACATTGCGAGTGGGTAGCGTGGCAGCATGAATTTGGCTTTCCCAGTAGGACCACAAATGCTCTATTGGATTAAGGTCAGGTGAATTTGGAAGACAGGACATGACTTGAAAGTCACTGGAATGTTCCTCCAACCAATCCATGACGGTTCAACCTTTATGACCCGGTGCATTATCCTGTTGCTAAACACCATCCCCCGCAGGAAAAACTGTTGCAATGAATGGGTGAACCTGATCTGCAACTATGTTAAAATAGCTTACAGACGTCAGGGATTGTTCTATGACGATTATGGGTCCTAATGTGCCCCATGAAAACATTGTTCCTGGGCGAGAAACCATAAAAACCTGTGCGTGCCCATTGTAATAGATGGAGGGCTCTTCGGTGTATATCTGCAATTATATCATGAAAAATTACTCAATTCCGGCTTGTCCAGCTTCTTATCAAAAGATTCTGAAAGGGAATTCGTGGCAAGATTTTTTTTGCGTAATCGAACGGCATCTAAAAAGGGGAATTTAAACAACATAATTTGTTTAGACAGACGATGCCACACAGACTCCAAGGAAATTTAGTATTTTCTTAATGAGTATATTCCCAGCTATTATTATTTATTAACTTCAAAAAATAATCTTTCAGTCAAAATTTTGGTTTTGCATGCTCTTTTGAAATAATGATTTGTGTTGAAATTAATAAGAGAATTTGTTTTAAAAAATGTAAGACGCATGAATGCAGAATCTTATCTCATATGAATTTTAAAATGCAACGCAGATATACGTTATAATAATAATAAAAATAAATAATTATGTTTGTTTTAAACTCTTAAATAAAAAGTGTAATAATAGCAGTACAGATGATGATGATGATTACTGACGGGCATTTTTGGAGCTCTCTGGAGTATTTAACCTATAGCTCGATTTTGTAGTGTTAAGTAACAGTACATGAAATACCTTTAAATTAGGGATACAAAAACAATACCTTTATAACTGTTGTTAATTTAAAGATGATGACAACCAAAACAATATGGAAATGAAAGAGGTGAAATTGAATCCTACCACGTGATTTTCCGGCCAATGAAAATGCTCCGACAATAATGGAAAACAGCATCCTTAGATTTTTATATATGGTTAGATACATAATTATAACGAAAAGTATAATGTATTTCTTCAAAAATACTTTTTACAAAAATAGTCAAAATTTATCAAAGTTACTCTCTTCCTTATTCTTAAGCTTAACTCCACTTTTTCAATTAAACTTAAATTTACCAACGATATCGGTTTTATTGCATTAAATGTATAGAATAATAGTACATAAGGGGAAATAGGAAATTCTGCGCAAAACGCAGACGACATAACACAATCAAGAGGAGATATATGGTATTTTCCTCAATTATTATTTAAATATGGTTAATTTCTTACAGATCCTCTGTAATTTTAAATTTTCAATAGTTCTCTCTCTCTCTCTGGTATGCCTGTTTAGGCAGAGGGGTGCGATTAATCTTGCTTTCCAGTGGTGCCATATCTGGACAAGAATTCAAATTCTTCCACACCCATACGTCATACCCTTTTATAGGGTGAACCCATTCATACATCCATTCTTTCATCCACAGATCGTAATTTTGACATGAATCAGAGAACGATCGATCTCCAATCCAGTACCCCCAGAGGTATTGGTTTTTTTTTATGGGAACATGGAGGACTTCACCATTTACTGCACTGAGAGACTTCGGCCGGTTGGGTTCGAACCAACGAACTCTCGGACATGGGCCCTGCGTCCTACTGACCACACTATCCAGGCACATTCTCAATAGTTGATTTTAAATTAAAACTACAGCAACCAACATTTTTACTTGCATAGAATTATTATTGCGGTTATATAGTAATGCTTTGCTTATCCTTTCTA